GGCAACCGCACTTGCGACCACTCGGCCAACGACGCAGTCAAAACAAATCTGCTCATCATTTAAATGTGAATGATTGAAGTTTAAAATTGACTAAATACATCTTGTTTATTCAGACTTCGGACTCGGTCTTAGCAAAACCTAAAACGAAGATTGCAAAAGGTTTGTGTGAACTGGTGACGGTGACATAATTATTCTGATATCTAAAAGTGTGGGAGAGCCATGCTTCAGCACGAATGGGCCGGCTCGACCGAAGTGATACCACGACCTCACAGAAAACCGACGTGAAGCAACGCTTGCCGTTGTATTTTGTCGTGTGAGGCCCAATTACCCTCCCCTTCCCCTATCTCCCCAATTCCTGAATCTCCAACGATCCTCAAACTCCTAATCCCCAAAAGATCATCCATCCTTACCACCAGGTATCCGTCTGCTCGTTTGCCGGCTTATGCCATAAAAAAATCTAGACTTTGTTAATGATTCCCTTTCATTTACATGACTTACTTGACTTAATCTCCTGTGTCCCCTAGATGGGGCAGAGGGCGTCCACTGAAATTCTCCATCACTATCTGTGTTGAGCTTCACGCTTCACCTCACCCCACGTCATACCGATGCTCGTCGCTTCTGCCAGTACGGTGCGACGCCAGGTTTGCCGAGGACGGCCACGCTTTCTTTTCCCTTGGGGATTCCAATCCAAGGCTTGCTTGGGTATGTGGCCAGGATCCCTTCGGAGCGTGTGGGCTATCCATCCTCACTTGCGGCTGTGCCCTATTCATCCCCACTCGGCCTTTCATTTACATGGAGTATATTTAATTAGATAAGGTACGATGCGGTTGACTTATCCATGTGGACAAGTCGCGGAGAACCTAACGGGTTCCCGGGGCTCCGGCTCGAAGTGCAGGAGAAGGAACAGGGTGGTTTTTAGTCAGTAAGAGTCTGGCACTCCCTCCCGCCTCACCCAGGCGGGAGAAGACGTTCGATGATTTCCCTCTTAAACAAATCCATTTGAAAAAAGCCCTCTTAAACAATAAAGGAGACTAAAAAAGAAAACATCGGCCTGTAACAATATTCTTATACCTACTTTTACTTAGATAAGTAGTAAGCACGTGTTAACAATATTACAATGATTCATAATGATAACATACTATGTTTACCAAACATACGGTTTTAACGTTCGTGGCTACTGAAGCGGTCCGTCGGAAGTTTCCCCGTGTATTTCTATTTATGATGGGTGTTTTAATTTTCTTTCATGTTACTTGTTCTGTTTTATATCGTTTGTTCTGACTGTTTTGTTTTCTTTGGGTGTGACGGTTAGTGGCTAGTTTAAAGTTGAGATGTAGGATTTTGATGTAAGGTTAATAAAACTGCCTCGTTGGCCGAGTGGTCGCAACTGTGATTGCCGGGCAAAGGGTCTAGGGTTCGATTCCTGGATCGGGAAAAGTATTACTGGGTTTTAAAAAAAAAATCTTAGTATTAGCACGGAGTCTGGAAATGTGCACGGTATATGGCTAAGGTATATGGTTTTAATATTACATGGGACTCATAAGATAAATAGTGAAAAGTGGGTGTTACTTCTGTGTGCGCCTCTGCTTACCCCTTCAGGGATAAAAGGCGTGATGTTATGATGTTAATGAAACTCTTTTGATTCGGGATTTGAAAACTGATGCCCTTGCTTCAGTGACCTAACAAATTGTAAGTTGTCAAAAATCCCCCTCAATGATGTTAAGGTTGTTTTATCATGTTTAAAACCATTGGGTTTTTGCACTAAGTGTATTATGTGTATGGCATTTATATGGGTAGAAACTGCAGAACTTCATCAGCTATGATTACAACATATGGACATAGGTCCATTTATAAATGACATGATAGGTATAAATGACATGGGCTCGCTGTCATTGCAGCGGTAAGTCCCCTCTTTGAGGAGTGGCTTGAGAGACGCTACGGCGTTCTCACCTACCGCCTGACGCAGGTGCTTACCGGACACGGAAGTTTTGGTAGGTTCCTGTTTCGGATTGGGCGGGAGGAAACGCCCGGGTGTCATCACTGCGAGGATCGCCCGGAGGACACGGTGGAGCATACGGTGGCGGTGTGTCCTGCGTGGACTGAGCACCGCCGTGTCCTCAGGAATGTGATCGGCGACGGCGACCTCTCGCATCCGGCTCTGGTTCAGACCATGGTACGGAGCGAGGGGGACTGGGATGCCGTCTCCTCCTTCTGCGAAGCAGTCATGCTAGCTAAGGAGGAGGCGGAGCGCGTGAGGGAACGAACCTCCTCACGACCCGGCCGTCGCGAGAGACACTCCGGGCGTCGGGGATCGCGAGACGATCTCCGGCCACCGTAAGCACGGGCCTGCGGACGGCGAGCACGGGTGACTCGCCGCCCGACCAGAACCAGGCCCGAGCGTACGGCGCGTCGCGTTCCGCGCGCGCCTCAAGGAGCCATCAGACCACCACAGATGGGGCCTAACAGGGCTGATGCCGATACGGAGCCGCGGAAGACTTAACGGGTTGCCGGGGCTCCGGCTCGAAGTGCAGGAGTAGGAACGGGGTGGTTTTTAGTCAGTAAGAGTCTGACACTCCCTCCCGCCTCACCCGGGCGGGAGAAGTCATTGGATGATTTTCCCCCCTCAAAAAAAAAAACAAAAAAAAAAGGTATAAATGACAAAATTAAGTAAAGAAACACGGAAGTTCTACCACCACTAATTATTAATCATCAATCTACTCATCTCATAAGACATACAGCTAAAAAAACTGATTCCAAATAACGATAGTATTTTATCTAAGTCGTTTCAAGTCGGAAATATCTCGCGATCTTCCGTTTGATCAAAGGACTGACAAACTAATGTCGGTTTATATTTAGACCAAACCAGATGTTGTCGAGTTCAACGCCGATCCCGATCGCTAAGAAATTAATCGTATTAAAAAGTCGAAAGATAGTGAAATATGTGCGAGGTATGCTTCGGTATCATTGACAGACCACCCCTGGATTATAGATAGACTTGACCCTGAAGTCTATTTCATTTTGGTCCCGAAGTAAAATGGGTCTGTCTCGGTAATACAATAGTTTTATAAAGAAATAAGGAAATAAATGGTGAACCATTGCAAATAGTAAACTTTGAAAGTGCATACTAACTCTTAGTAGTACATAATCAAAACTTCAAACCGTGTAATTCTCGAATAGGTAAACTTATATGCGACACGATCACGGTGTATAAAGGGTGTTTGCCATAATGCTCACGTTTGGAATTGGAGATCAGTTCAAAAGATTTAGGTTCATCAGAGCTCGCTGCTGGCGGTCTCTGTTGAATGTCTAGACGAGAACCTAACGGGTAACCGGGGCTCCGGCTCGACGTGCAGGAGAAGGAACCGGGTGGTTTTTAGTCAGTAAGAGTCTGACACTCCCTTCCGCCTCACCCAGGCGGGAGCAGTCATTCGAGGATTTTCCCCCCTTAAAAAAAAAAGTCTAGTCTATATATAATTATTATTACTATATTCATATTTATTATTTATTTATTTATATTGTAGTAACGGGCTAGTGCTGGTAAATCAGCGCCGCGACTCGAGTTACCGCTCTCGGGTCACGGTATTTCAGCTGAGTACTTGGCCTTTTTCCGCCGTGCACACTTTTACCATTTTTGTTATTGTATTACTATTCTTCTGGTCTCTAATCTGTTACGGTGCAAATAAACAATTTTTCTTCCTTTCTTTTCTTCCTTTCTAGTCTCTTAGTTGACTGTTACGGCTCTCGAGAAGAGTAGAGTTTGTGACAAATATATTTTTCTTTAACGGCTTTACACGGCAAACAAACCTATGTACTTATGTTTGTTACAACCCACGTTTTCAAGGACTCCAAGAAGATATTAAACTGGCAGATAATGGTATCTGGTAGATAGCGGTTATCCAGAGATGAAATCAACTTCATATCACTTCGCTTTGCGTAAACTGAATTTGGGACGGGCAACTTTGATTTCGTAATTCTAAGAATTGACGCCCAAAATTGTGCTTGTATTTTGATTTTTAAATTCATCAGTTTCATTAATAAATCATAATTTTTAATAAATCACAATATAGTAATACACTAATATGAATTAAACGAGGACACATTCTTAGCAAGACACGTCGGCAAATATTTCGTTTTGCACCGCGATAACTAGTTGAATCATCTTGTTTTGTTCTGACATCACTTTGCAATTTTTCCTTAATATGGATCATCAATCATATTTACGTCTTATTATTAATGTTTCGGGAAAAGTTGAATATGTTGAATGACA